GCTTCCGCCACCAATTGCAACCACGCTCACCCTGTCACCACTGCAACCACCACAACAGCACCACTACCAACACCATCACCACGAGATCTCCACAAAAAAAATTGCCGCCACCAAATCTACCTTCATTGCCATTAGGAACCACCACGACTGTCACCGCCAAACACATTAAAAAAATAAAATAAAAATCATCATCATCGTCGACTGAACCACACTATCATCAAAGCCACTGCCTGCATCACACCACATCACGCCACAAAAATGCCACCACACAAACCACCATCCAAAACCACCCCAACCGCCAAATACACCATACAAATCTGTTTCTCCTTCGTACGTTGGTTGCGGGGCTTCACCTATGAAGAGTCGTCGGAGTAAGTAGGTGGATTTGTTTCGCGGTGGCAACTCGCAGTGATTTGCATGAACCCACCGCGCTGTGTGGTAAAGATCGTCGTAGTGCTGCTTACATGGTGGCGACAGTGTGGTGTCATCAATTGAAGTGAAATGGGTAACGTCTCTGATGGCGTGTGCTTCGACGGCGGCGTAGTAGAGGGAAAGGAAAAGACGGAAAAGATAGAGAGTGAGTGAGAGAGATAATAAAATTAGGGTTGGAATTGAATTGAAGGTAATATTTATTATATTGGTTCCTTATTTTTAAATTCTAATCTTCAAACATCTAGAATTATGTAATTTCCACTTGATTTAATACATCATGGAGGTTGTGGCCCATGAGAACAACCTCAACACGCTAGTGAAAGTCAACGTATGAGATTTTAATAATGTGTTATCTTGTCCAAATTAAAATTCAAGCTAGGCTCGTGCGAGAGGATTGCTTATGATCTTTGATCGACATGATGTGATCGGACTCAATTAAGTTGACACAAATCTGTTTCTCCTTCGTACGTTGGTTGCGGGGCTTCACCTATGAAGAGTCGTCGGAGTAAGTACGTGGATTTGTTTCGCGGTGGCAACTCGCAGTGATTTGCATGAACCCACCGCGCTGTGTGGTAAAGATCGTCGTAGTGCTGCTTACATGGTGGCGACAGTGTGGTGTCATCAATTGAAGTGAAATGGGTAACGTCTCTGATGGCGTGTGCTTCGACGGCGGCGTAGTAGAGGGAAAGGAAGAGACGGAAAAGATAGAGAGTGAGTGAGAGAGATAATAAAATTAGGGTTGGAATTGAATTGAAGGTAATATTTATTATATTGGTTCCTTATTTTTAAATTCTAGTCTTCAAACATCTAGAATTATGTAATTTCCACTTGATTTAATACATCATGGAGATTGTGGCCCATGAGAACAACCTCAACACGCTAGTGAAAATCAACGTATGAGATTTTAATAATGTGTTATCTTGTCCAAATTAAAATTCAAGCTAGGCTCGTGCGAGAGGATTGCTTATGATCTTTGATCGACATGATGTGATCGGACTCAATTAAGTTGACAAAATGGAGAGTCAAAATCCAGCTAAATGATGTGGTGTCCATCTTGTCATACGTGTACCTCGTGAAATATATGTGTGATTAAATCGCTTGCTTGGTCACATAAGTATGATTAAGCAATAAATTCAATTAAATGTAGACTCATGAGACCCATTTATTTTAAACTTTTATTTAATGGCACGATGACTAGTGTTAATACAACTAGTACTATTTAGTATTATCCTTTAAATCTGGCAATTGATTTATCTAACTAAAATTATAGCATAGGACCTCCAATTTATTTATTTTGTGCCAAAAAAATAAAATGTAAAGAACCTGATATTTATAAATATAACCGAACTTGTGCAGAAATTTTGAAATCCTACCAAACGAGTAGACAAGTGTCATTGAATAGCATTTTTGAAGTGTGTGACATTTAAATTACTTTGTAAACAATGGAAAACTATATTGACCATTGAGAGATTTTTTTGTCAATTACTATTGATCAAAGTAGAAAATTATGTATTTTTCTGTTTAAAACCTTATTTATGCAATATTTTTATCTGTTTATAATTTTGTAACACTTGGACTTGGTAAACCAGTAAAATAATCTTTTTATATCATTGGTACATAATTAAAATTTATATTTTTAAGATGTTTAACTGATTATATAGTTGAAATTTTAAAGATTCAGCTCTCATTTACAGTTTTTTCGTTTAAATAGTGAAATGTTAGAACACTTTTCGAATTTTTACTATTTAAGTTTTTATTTTCTATTTTAAAACATTATTTTTTGTGAAAGTTAACTGATAATTTATTATTTCAAATTTATTATAATCAAATGACATACATTGCAAATTGTAATATGTGTGGTTTTTTTAAATAGTTAATTAAATTTCTACATGTTGATGAATTTTTAAAGTACTTGCAGAGTATAATTGATTAAAAAGATAATTTGAAATATTAACTAGATAGATAATAAATTATTAGAAATAATAATATATATGGAAAATTGTAGCAACGGTCCCTAACCTTTTCAATTTTTACAAACATTACCGTAACCTTCAATTTGTAGCAATGAACGTCCCTAACCATCCAGAAATATGCAATTAGAATCCAAACGAATGGAAACCATTCATTTGATCGTTAGTTGACCAAAAAAATTGATTTTGGCCAAATTTGATAAGGGCAAAATAGTAACTTTACAAGTTTAACACAAAATAATTGAAAGAGAAAAAAAAGAAGAGAAACCTACCCACCTACGCCACCCTTGTTCTCATGAAAAACCTAGTGGTGAATCCACCTTCCCCCTCTTACCTACTAGCGTCCACATTAGTTGTCAAAATCGCCATGCAAAGGTCGATTGTGACAACCACATCACAATATTGGCACCATCGCTCAAAAGTTGACGCTATCATCTAAATCAGTTTTTTTCTTTCATAAATCTGTTGAAGATTTGTAATAGCTTTATTTTTAATTTTTCAATTTTATGATATTTGATTTGGTTGTGTGGGGATTTGACAATCACTAGAAATGGTGGCAATTGGTGGATATCCAATTCTTAGATCTTTGGTGTCGATTTTGAAATCGGTAATTGACAGTGGATTTTTGCTAGGTTTTGAGGGGTTTCTTAATTACAGAGTATTTGACAATCATTTTCACTCTTGACTGTGGGTTTTCATTGCAGTGGCTATTGGTGGTTTGTTATGGTAGTGGTGGGATGGTACCAATTTAAGTGCGGCATTGTGTGGGTTGCGATGGTGGCAACCGTTCATTGAGTTTTCTTGATTTGATTTTTGAGTGAGGGGGGGTAGGGATGTAAACGAGTCGGGCCGCGCCGGCTCGCGAGCCTAAAGTTTCGGCTCGGGCTCGCTCGGTTAAAATGGGCGAGCTTTTTTGCGAGCTCGAGCAGGGCCGAACAAAAGCTCGGCCAAAAAAAATAGGCTCGGCCCGAGCTTTTGCTCAGGCTTTTTACGGGCCGACCCGGGCAGACTCGTTTTCACTACTTTTTTTTTTTTAACTTGCTGCCTTTTAAGGCAGCAGATTTGTTGCCTTTTAAAGCCTTCAATTAAAATTTTTTTTATATTAATAAGCTTGCGAGCTCACATGTCGGCTCGGGCAAAGCCCGTGTCCCCAAAATGGGGCTCGGCCCGAGCCTAGGCTCGAGTCTATCGAGCCCCGAGCCGAGCCATAGGGATGTAAACGAGTCGGGCCGCGCCGGCTCGCGAGCCTAAAGTTTCGGCTCGGGCTCGCTAGGTTAAAATAGGCGAGCTTTTTTGCGAGCTCGAGCAGGGCCGAACAAAAGCTCGGCCAAAAAAAAATAGGCTCGGCCCGAGCTTTTGCTCAGGCTTTTTACGGGCCGACCCGGGTAGACTCGTTTTCACTACTTTTTTTTTTTTTTTTAACTTGCTGCCTTTTAAGGCAGCAGATTTGTTGCCTTTTAAAGCCTTCAATTAAAATTTTTTTTATATTAATAAGCTTGCGAGCTCACATGTCGGCTCGGGCAAAGCCCGTGTCCCCAAAATGGGGCTCGGCTCGAGCCTAGGCTCGAGTCTATCGAGCCCCGAGCCGAGCCACGGGCGGCCCGAGTCGACGAGCCCGATTGCCATTCCCAAAAGGGGGTGAGTTTTCTTGATTTATTTTCAAATGTAAAGTGGCAAATGTGCAATATGTTGAAAGGTGGCGATAGAGGGTGCTAAAACTAGTAGTGTGTGGTGGTGAGAGGAGCTCCGGTGGCGACGATGGTGGTGGTGTAAGTTGACGGTGGTGATGGTGGCTATTTCTGGTATGACTTCGAAGAAGAAGGTTTTTAGATGGGGTTTGGGATGGGGAGTGGAAGATGATGTTTTTTATTTTTATTTTTTTTATAATATTAAATTAACTAAGTTACCATTTTGCTCTTATCAAATTTGGTAAAATCAAATTTTTTTTTATCAACTAACAGTTAAATGGATGATTTTCATCCGTTTGGAACCCAGTTGTCTATTTTCGAAAGATTAGAGGCATTCATTAACACAAATTAAAGGTTAAAGTTTGTCAAAATTAAAAAGAATGTGCTTGTGGTACATAAAATGGTGTCTCCCCCACTCATATCAGGGGGACCTACATGAATTAAATGTACTCACATCGAGGGGATCTAATTGAATTAAATGTACTACATTTAATTCATGTAGGTCCCCCCGATGTGAGTGGGAGGATACCATTATGGACACCATTTTATGTACCACAAGAGTTATTCAAATTGAAAAGGTTAGGAACCGGTACTGCAATTTTCCCTAGTCTATATAAAAGATATATTTAAATCTTGCTTATTAATAAATTCTGACTTATTTATAAGTTTACGTATTTTACTTTGTGGAAAAGTCTAAGCAACCACACGAATATTGCTATTTGCATTTTTGATGTTGAACTAAAAGATAAAAAGACAACAGTTTTATTGAATGCATAGTCTTTTCCAATCAACAAAAGTCCCAAACATAAATAAAAGTGAAAAAATTTAATTACAAATAATCAACAGTGATTATGATAGGTGAAAAGGATGAATATTTTAATTAAGGTTAGAAATTATTCCTAATTCACTAAAATAAATAAAAATTAAAGCAATTCATTCGGCGTTTGAAAATCAGAGATTACTGTAATGCTATAATGAATTGCAGTCCATATTATGTCAATTAGATACAAGTAGTTGTGTAAATTTACAGATTATTTTGTTCAGTTCGAACGTAAAAACCCAGAAAAATTGAACTATTTTCTTCTCTACATTCCAGAACCTCGTTCATTTTCATTCTCTTGGAATCTTTTTCTTTTTCCGCGATAATCCTTCTCCATTTTACTCAGCGATAGGAAAAGGAAGCATCTTTTTTTTTTTTTTTTTTTTTAATCTAACCAAGCCATCGGGTTGCTGCTGATCATAGGGATTTGTATTACTTTTGGAATTCTCAAAGTTTGAAGTTTGAAAGGAACAATTCTTTTGGGGTTTTTATAATTTTTGCTGATGTTTGATCTTCCGGAAGCGGCGGACGGAGGCGGAGCAGCGGCGGGGGAGAGGTCTTTATCGTCTCCTTTGCTGTCTCCGGCGAACCCGAGTCCGTCGGAAATTGGGACTGAGCGGTGGGAGACAGCGGAGAAAGCTGCTCATATGATAATCTGCAAGGTACAGCCTACTGCAATTTCTGAAGAAAGAAGAAGAGATGTAATTGAATATGTCCAAAGATTAATCAGGAACAATCTTGGCGTAGAGGTAAAGATCTTGTATACATATATAAGCTTATATGTGCATCTGTGAGAAATTTTTACAGATATAGATACAAATGCAAGTGTGAATTCTATGTATATGTTTATGCGTGTTTATTGAAAAATTTATCATATATGGTTAGTGGCACTGCTTATTTACCTTTAGTGTGTTTTATATGTATTGCGTTGTGAATTTTTTGTCATTTTCTAGCAAGGTGTAGAGCTTATATTCTGATTTGCTTGGGCTTATTGCATATGGGTAGCTTATGAGGTAGATTTTTTGTTGGTTCATTCAGTATATGTTGATTCACGACAGACGATATGTGCTCAAGAATGTTGTACAAGGTGGAGGGTTAAAAAGTTGCTGGGTGACTAGTGGCACGATGCAAAGTGACGGTTATGTTGATTGAATCTTGTATTTTGTTTTCTCCTGGCCTTTGGTTCACATTTATGGTAGCTTTTGAAATAGATTTTCTGTTGGTTCTTTCGGTATATGTAGATTCATGACAGACAATACCTGCTCAAGAATGTTCTATGAAGTGGAGGGTTAAAAGTTGCTGGGTGACGAGTGGCACGGTGCAAAGGGTCGGTGTTATGTTGAGTGAATCTAGTAATTAGTTTTCTCATGGCTTTTGGTTCGCATTTATGGTAGATTTTGAAGAAGATACCCTGTTGGTTCATTCGGTACATGTTAATTAATGATAGATAATACCTGCTAAAGAATGCTCTATACATGGAGTTATAAAATGTTGCTGGTAACTAGTGGCAAAGATCCGAAGAGACAGGTTATGTCTAGTGATCTAGTAGTATTTAATATGCCCATTCATTTTGCACGTGTCTTCTGTCCCTTGGAAATGAGAGGGTGTGATTGTGTAAATCGGGGCAAACTTATCATGAGATTTTGTTGATTTATGACAGTTAATTCCTGCTGGAGAATGTTCTACAAGCAAGAACGGTTAAAAGATGCAACGGGACAGGGTTACGTTTAGTTGAATCTGGTATTATGAATTTTACTTATTCATTTTGTACGTGTCTTTGGTCCGGAAATGGGAATACGTGATTGTGTAAATCAGGTAAAATGGTCATGAGATAAATTAATGCAACACTTGCCTTTTGTTCATTTGATAATTAAGTGCTCTTTATTGTCAATATAGCTTTACTGAGTATAGTTGGTTAATGATATGCACTTTTACGTGTTAGAACTAATGAGAAAGATTAGTGATATCTCTGAAATTTCTATAATCTGGGAAGGATATCCTTTGTCAATATCATGGAAGACAACACCATGGTCTCTGTGTCTGACTTCCATTGGGTAACAAAAATTTGTCGGTACATAATTTAATTTGGTCGGTTGAACTTAAATATCTGTCTTTCGGTTCCTCTTAACAATAACGTATCTGTGACATATTGTTAGAGAAGTTGGCGAAAGTACAGTACCTATGTCAACTATAAGTTTGAATAAGGGGTCATAGCAATTTTAGTAGTTATTATGTAATCATGCTTCTTGTTGGATTTGCTCAACTATGTAGGCTTTGTTGTTCCCACCTAAACTAAATAAATAAGAATGTGGGAGTTATGGTGTGGTAATGTTGAAGTTCCTGGTATATGATCTACATCCAGCTGCATCCGATCCGTTGATGAGAACATTATTGTAGTCAAATATATGACAGTTCTTGTATGTAATATGTACACAAAAGACAAGAAAGTACATACAGACCTGGCTACTGGATTGTGTTACTTCTCTCTTTACATACAGACCTGGCTACTGGATTGTGTTACTTCTCTCTTTCTTCCTGGCTCCATCTTCACGGAAATTCTAAAACTTGCCCCAACAGGAACAGAAAACTAGTACTTTTCCAAAATAAATTTGAAGTTAGCTACATGATTCCTTTTCGCCGCTGTGTTCAGATAATTGTTATATAGGATCACATTTAATAGCATTCATTAAATAATTTACTTTTCTTCCTGCTTCATCTTTAAAGAATTTTGAAATTCATTGTGTTATTATAAGTTGGCACAGATTATTGCATATGACATTAAACGGTATCATTACAAGATTAACAATCAATAGTAAACAGTTCATTACTAGACGATAAGGTTCTTTCTTCAAAAATATAGAACTATGAAAAAATTTGGACTGGCACTGGGCACTTTATTTTACACAGTGATTTTCAATTTCTCTTATCTGTCATGTTTATGCCCTGTTGTATATGTGTTTTGTGTGTGTGTGTGTGTGTGTGTGTGTGTGTACACACCTATTTATCCCTTACTCTTTTAAGTTTCTCTCTTGGACTCTTGGGGCAAATTAGAGAAAGTACATCTCCCATTTATGGGCATGTTAGTTTTCTTTTCCAAAGTGACCTTTTGTTTATTAGTTTTTAGGGATCATTAACAAATTATATCCACCTTTTTCGTCTTTTCGAACCTTTTATGAGTTATATTTATGGGAGGTTTTATATATTTGCAGGTATTCCCTTATGGTTCTGTACCATTAAAAACATATCTCCCCGATGGAGATATTGATTTGACTGCCTTTGGTGGTGCTAATGTTGAAGATAAGTTTGCTGAGGATATGAAATTTGTACTCGAGGGAGAAGAGAACAATAGTTCTGCAGAATTTGTGGTAAAGGATGTCCAGCTCATTTCTGCTGAGGTTTGTATCTCTTATCTGCTTCTTTCCATATATTTTTATGTTGCTATGAAGGTCCCAAGCTGTAGTTTGCATGCTTACCATTAGTTCCCTTATAAGGTACTATGTACTTGACCTTGAAATCCTTTGTCTTGATTTAAAATCAAATTGGCTTTACCGGATCTGTTAAGTTAGCCTATTTATGATTCTGGTCCTACCATCTAGCCCTTGAGTATAAGAAGTATTAAATACAGTTAAGACTTAATATTCCTTCCCAAGTCTCTTTCTTATTTATACGTTCTTTTTTCTGTTAATCTAAATCCATTGGCATGGCTTTTGGGAATATTTCTTTTTTGTATTCACATGTATGTATGTACTTGTATTTGTTTTGTTAAATTCTATTACACCGAATACAAATTCTAAGTAGCTGTATTACGACTTGAGAGCATTTTTTTCTTCTAAAGATTACAACTTGCTTACTTAGTGTTTACATGCTTCCTTTCTGAAGATGATATAGAATGAGTTCTTGATGCTTATGTCTTGAACCTCTCCTTGAGCTAATGGTGTGAGGAGTTGCATTGATTTTGCCAGTCAAAATTTTGTTTAATTGAGTATCCATTAGTCTTGTTGCATCATGAGGTTCTCTACTTATACAACTGATCTACTAAAAGGTGTCTAGTAATGACTTATTTTCTTCAAACAAGGAAATACATGTCTAGGGTTAAATAAGGAAGGAGAACAAATTTTAAAATTGGTTACATTAGTTCGCTGTAACTTGGATTGATATCAAAGGAGAAGAAAGATCTTTGCATGATTATTATTGATCTAGAAAAACAAAAATATTTGAGTTTCCAATGATGTATTATGTTGGATTCTTGGAAGGGTCAAAAGTATGTACATTGCTTTTATCAAGGATATGAACAGGAGGACAATGATCATGGAGGGACTCTATTTTGAATTTCCAATTACTGTACATTTTCTCAAAGGCTTTAAGTCTAAACTATGATGCACCGACATAGACACGTGTGTCCGACACGATACGCGTCGGATACGTTGACTCGTGATTTTTCAAAAAAGTACCGACACGACACGTCGTCGACACGTTCATTAAATTATTTAAAATTCTTCATTTATATAGTTTAAATTTAGTCTTATACTTATTATTTAATTTCTTTTATTTATTTTATTATTATTATTATTATTATTATTATTATTATTTTGAAATCTTTTGTTAAAAATATATAATATCTATAATAAGAAAGGAAAATGATTATTGTAGGGTGTCCGAAGAGTGTCGGTATCGACACATGTCGGACACGGACACGCTACCCTAGTTAGAGTGTCCGTACTACATAAAGTCTAAATATATTTGTTTTAACTATGGATGAATAAATTAAGAGTATCTCTAAAAGACTCTTTAAATAGAATGTTCTCTATATTTTAAAGAGTTAAACTTAAAATTATGCTCTAAGAGACTTTTCAAATTAACATTTTAAAATAGTGAGTTAGTTTGATTCTCCAAATTTTGATAGCTAAACCCACTCTTTAAATTAAATGTATTCGAAGTATTTTAATTTTCAATTGAGAAAAATTATAAAATAATTTAGAGGAAAGTTAGTGAAAATAAAATATAGGGAAAAACAATAAACATATTTTGGGAGTAATAAAATTAAATGTTAAAAATAAAGAAGTTGTTGGAGCACTTAAAATTTCTCACTCTAAATTTATAGATGCTCTCGAAATTGCTAAATATGCTCTTTAAATGTAGAAAATCTATTGGAGATGCTCCAAGGACATAAAGAATGGAGTCCAATGAGTATTCTTTATGTTGATGGAAGAGATTGAACAAGTAATCATTTTTTAATTAGAGTTACAAAGAAAAAAAATGGAAAAGAAGGTTTTCAAATTAGTTGAGCATGAATGAGCCTTGTATGTAATTTTAGTCTAGTTAGTAGTAATTGACTAATTGCAGAGATGCAGTAAAGGTTCAAGGTGATGACGGTCCTATAGGTTGAAAATTTTCAATGCTCATGCTCAATGTTTCGTGGGGAAGGAGAAGTACAAGATGCTTCTCATAGGATTAAGGATGGAAGGATTAGATGAGAAGTATATTTGGGTTTCCATGTGATCCACAATTCCCATTGAGAGTAAAACACAAAATTTTACAGGGCGTTCACACAATTGTGAGTAAATGAGTTTCTCTTTTGGAAAGAAAGTATGTTCAAGTAAGCATAAATTTATCATGGTTACAGGAGTCTATCCATTGCGTATAGGCTTGGAATATTAAAAATAAATTTTTGTAAGAGAGGAGGAGGAATAAAGTAGGAAATGATTACATCCATGATTTAATTAAAGAAGCAACCATAGAAGTTCAATTTTGGTAGAACAGATTAAAATGGTTTGAACTTTCAGAGAAGTTTGTTAGGTGACCTACTAGGGAATGCAATAGGACTACTACTAATGCAAATATAAAGGAAGAGATCGATCTGATATCGCAATGAGTGAGGTAATTAAGAAGGGTTTAAAACTTGGTGAGTGTGAAGATGGTCGTGATGGAGCATAAGTTAAAGATGATTCATTTGTTCTATCATTATAATAAAATGAGTGTCATTGAACCTTAAATGAACATAGCTTTTCCTGCTGCAAGCTGACAACGAACTAAGAAAATAGTTGTGTTGACCAAGAGCCAGCTTCAGACGTGGAGCTGTCCTCTCTCTAAAAGCGTGGCAACATTTATTCATTGGTCAATTTCTTTTAACGTCTCGCCATTGGATGTCTTTGTTGAAAGTAATAGATACTGCAGCTGATCACTTCATACGAGTTGTTAGATATATCTTAATACTCAATTCATATTTTCATTACATCTATCTTCATCCTTCTAACATGACCAAATTTCTTTGAATTTCTCTTGGAATATCAATTGCCTGAGTTGAAAAGATTTGGTAAACTAAATTAGGTTGGTCTAGATTGCTCATAATTGCCCAATCCAGCATGGTTTACTTAGCATGAATGAGTAATTTCAAGTGTTTTATTGGAAAGACTTTCTAAAATGAATATTTTTGTATTATAAAATTGTTTATTATTCAGTTTTATTTGGTTTTGTTGTTTGGATGCTGCTTATTTGGTTCCAATTACAACAAATGTGATTCTCAACCTCCAGACTAGTTGTTTTCGTATTTCTTGAAATTCTAGCATATTGATTCTTTTCTTTTTCAACGTTTATGTACAATTAGAATTGAGATTTTATATTTGCTTGAACTCATATGCATCTATACATAATCACTTTACACTTCAAGTGTCTCTCTGTTTCCACCTTCTTGATCCATGGTAATTTGTGTGGCAGGTTAAGCTTGTAAAATGCATGGTGCAGAATATTGTTGTCGATATTTCCTTTAATCAAATTGGTGGCCTATGTACTTTGTGCTTTCTTGAGCAGGTAAAGTCGACCCTAAATTAATTTTAGACATTGAAAAATAATTATCAGATGTGCTTCTTTCTCAAGTCTGATATTCATGAATCTCTTATAAGTTGATTTATTTAGCCTATGTATCCACATATTTCAAGGGTTCCACAAGTACTATCCACTTATTCACTTCTAATTTCTATCTATTTATAATACGAACCGTTTATAAACACTTTTATAAAACATGCTTTTATTTTTATTCTATTATGGTAAAACATGAAATAATTGTGTTATGATGTGATACTGTTACTATGTAACGAAGTTGATTTTCTGTGACAAACAGCTATTTGGTATAGATTGCGACTTTTATGTGATGAAAGAAAGACATAAGACATCTATATCTTTATTCTTGAAATTCGTTGGTTAATAAAATGTATTTTCTTATTTGTTCATGTTATTGTTTGTCACGTAGACTTTTTGCATCGGTCCCTGATTATATATATAAAGGTGGAAACCATACGTTTTTATGTCCCATTTGAATTCCACTTATATTTCAGGTTAATCGCCTCATTGGAAAAAATCATCTGTTTAAGCGTAGTATCATAATGATCAAGGCATGGTGCTATTATGAGAGTCGAATTCTTGGTGCTCATCATGGCTTGATTTCTACCTATGCTTTGGAGACATTGGTCTTGTACATCTTCCATCTTTTCCACACAACATTAGATGGTCCTTTAGCAGTGAGTGCTCACAAGTATAATTGTTTTTTTCTCCTTGATATCTGTTAATAAATTAACCTAGTAATTGTAATTTCTGATTTTAGGTCCTATATAAGTTTCTGGACTACTACAGCAAATTTGACTGGGACACATATTGCATTAGTTTGTATGGACCAGTTCACATTTCCTCGTTGCCGGCCATTGTGGGTGTGTACCATCCACTAGAATAGGGTCCACATTGTTTAACTTTGATTCATGATTAGCTGAATTCTTTTTTTACTCTTCTTGTCTCTTTTGCAGCTGAGACGCCTGAAGATGGCAGTGGTGATTTACTACTTACTGATGATTACTTAAGATCTTGTGTTGAAATATTCTCAGTTCCATTGAGATATGCGGAACAAAAATCCCGTGGATTTCAACAAAAACATCTCAACATTGTTGATCCTTTAAAAGAGGTCAATAATCTTGGAAGGAGTATCAGCAAAGGTAGAATCTCATTGTTACTCACTTGAATGGAGTCCATGGTTTAAAAAGTAAATGTTCTCTAGATCTTGCATGCTTCTTTTCTTTGCATTATGAAATTTGTTGAGTGTGACTTCTTCCTCAAACGCATTAACTAGTACCTATTGCCTGATGACTACTATTAGTTTTTGTCAAGAAATCAGCTCAATTGGTGCTTGCTTATTCTGTACAGGAAATTTTTACCGTATACGCAGCGCTTTTTCTTATGGTGCTAAAAAACTTGGGCAAATACTCATGCAGCCAGAAGATCGTATCACTAATGAACTTCAAATATTTTTTTCGAGCACTATGCAGAGGCATGGATGTGGACAGAAGCCTCATGTTCAAGATCCCTACCCACAATTAACTTACAATGGTTTCATTCCTGCATCATCTAGTTTAGGGACAGGGCCATATAAAGTTGAAAACTCTGCCAATGCTGTGGGCCATCGTTTCAATGGAGATGCAAATGACCTCACTATCCCAAGCGTTGAAGGCCTTAATATTTCTAGTGATTCACCCAAGTATCGTAAACAAGTTTTCACAGGGACGGTCAATGCAACCGGTATGCCCCATGATTCAGATCATGCGAATCAGGATCAGGGCTCAAGAAGTAGGAGTGGGAATCCAGAATTTTCAAACTCCTTATCAGATCTCAGTGGGGATTATGACAGTCAGTTCATTAGTTTACAGTATGGTCGATGGTTTTATGAATGCACCTTCGGTGTGCCTTCTTTACTGATGACTCCAATGCGGCCTCCTCAGTATGAGAACCAGAACCCATGGGATGGTGTCCTATATCCATCACAGTTGACGCACAATGGGTTTTCCCTTGGGCATCCCCATGGCTTCATACCAATGTATCCCATGAGCCACGCACTAGTACCTGGTGCGCCCATCGGCAGGGAAGAAATGCCTAAACACCGAGGAACGGGAACATATTTCCCCAAAATGGTATACTACTAATATTATCCCGATGCAAGTGGTCGTTTGAAATTTATGTTCCTTGGAAATAATTATGTGACTTGATATGATATAAATTTACATCTTTATCTTTCCTTTGATTCTTCGTATTTTGCAGAATCTATCCCCACAAGGGTATAGGCCTTCAGCTGTTAAAGGAAAGAATCATTCACCATTGAGTTCCCCACGTGACAATGGGCGGAACGTGATATTTATGGAGACAAATATGCTGGACAGAAATAGCCATGAGCAGTCACAACCTCAATACCTAGTTGCTGTCGACCAAAGCGTCAATCTTGGGTCATCTGGGATCCACCAGTCATTTTCCCCTCGTGGAAGTAGGCATGTACCATCTGGAAATTTTTTCTCAGAACGAAACAAGCAACAAAGACCAGCCCCTTCTTCCCCACAAGTACGGAGTCCAGATTCCCCAGGAATGCAAAGGCTGAAACCTGCATTGAGCAGGGACCCGGATAGGTAAAAGAGCCTTCGGATAGATTATTTAGATAACCATCTTGGGAAACTGTTATTTTGCTAATCTTCTTTTGAGCTTGTTTCGCGCTCTGAACATGTAGGGGTTCATTTAATTCATCGTACCATCTCAAAGATCAAGATGATTTCCCACCTCTCTCTGTCTGAATTTCATGAAGAGATGCTCAGTTTTTGTAGTCGCTATAAGCATGAACGTGCCAGTGCAAGCCCAAGCTTTTTGCCTCTGTGGCTCCTCTTTCCGCCTCGTGGGAGATACAAATAGGTTATGTACTTTTTCCATTGTGGTGACGTTTGAAGGATTGTTTACCTATACATTTTACATGTTTGACAACAGAGATTCACATTCTGCCGTCTTTGTATAGGATGCTAAGATTCCCTTCCCATTAAGTTTTGTCTTCACCATTATGGTGTGGTTTAATCATGAACCAGTATGTTGTCAAATGTAAATTTTAACTTTAGTTGCATAGAGAAATATTAGACTTTTGGGTATTTTGCTTAGTTTTGAAGTATTTTCTTGTGAATTAGAGTACTATAAATACAATTGAAGGCTGTGTTAGTTGTAGGAATGTGAATCAACAAATCCCTACTCGTTGTCCCCGGCTACCTTTTTGACACTTTGGGCACTAAACGCCAATGGATAATGTTTCGAAGTGTCAGAAAATATGGTGGCATTTCCATTTTTTTTATTATTTTTTTTATGAAGGGGAATCTGCAACCATTATTCTTTGAGTGCGCACTGTGTAAACCCTCTGACTGATGCAATAGTCATCAAGGCATTTCCTATTTGTTAAGAAGAGATGATGTGGGAGATAGCTAAGGAGTAAGGAGACATCAAGTTTGGGATAAATAAAGTTGGGCGCGTAAAGTTGTAGATGGTTGTAGCTGTTTTTAAGCGTTCCACAATGGCTAAATGTTCAGCTGCCATAAAAAGCAGGGTTGTGCTATTTGCACAGAGCCCTGTGCAAGGAGAAATATCCTAAAAAGCAACTTTTGTTACTTTTCTTACATAAGAAAACATCTAAAATGTATCGTCGTAAGTGTCTCGTCATGAATAGAAAACTTGATTTGGATCTGGAGAGGACTTAATTTTGGGAGAGGACTTAATTTTGGGATGAACATGATTGCACTTGACAATGCTAAATTGGTTGAATTGTCAGCATCAGAATCCCACACAAATCTAATGACAAATCACAATATTTTTCCAAATCCACTCGTGTCTTTTTGGGGCATATTTGTATGGGAAAATTTCATAAGTAAGAGATTAAGTATGGTGGATTTCAGAATTAAGAAAATAAGTTTCAAAATTCAAAAATCAGATTTTTATTAAAATTTATTTATGATTTAATTATTTTATTAATTTAATATATTTAGGTCACAGTTATCTAATTAATTAGTCACAGATTAATTTTTAGTCACAACTTATCAAATTATTGGTCGTAACTTATTTCTCGGTCACAGATTGAAAATTTTATAGGTCACAGAATATTTTTCGATCACGAATTATTGGTTTTTTGTCACAGTTATCTAATTAATTAGTCACAAATTAATTTTTGGTCACAGCTTATCAAATTATTGGTTGTAACTAATTTACTCGGTCACAGATCGAAAATTTTATAGGTTAAAGAATATTTTTTGATCACGAATCCAAAATTTTTACAGGTCACAGATTATTTATCGGTCACATATTCAAATCTTTTATTGGTCACAATTCATTACTCATTGCAAATTATTGAATTAATTGATCACGATTAATTTTTCGATCACAATTTAATCAATTGTGAGTCACAATTGAGAGTCACAGTCACAATTTTCAGGTCACATATACAATTGCGAGTCACAATTTTCAACTCCACGACCATGTCCACCATCTCGAAACAAACTAACACCCACTACCAAAAACCATCGCAGGAACCACCACCACGGCACCACCAAAAACCAAACTAGCTCACAACCACGACTACCACGGCACAACCAGCACCACCATGAGAAATACCATAACCGCCAGATAGACCACAACTAACAGCACCACCACCACCCAAATTCACTACATAACCACACTACCGCAAAACACCACCACATCACAAAAACCATCAACTGCAGGAACCTGGTGAACTCTCGCTATCATCATAAACGCCACCAATGGTATAGGAATGTGTAAATCGCTCGTCGCTCTACTGGCACAGCAACGGATCTCTCAGTGTTGTTTCACCTCTTGGAAGTCGCAAACAACTCCATTGTAGCGGCGTTAAGAAGCGCCACTCTTGGATTTAACACCGTCATCGAAGTCTATATACCTTGCACAGATTAAGGAGAAAAAGAGGGAGCGGGGATGAGTGATCTTCGACAGCCGTACTTTTTGATAGAGAGAGAGAGAGAGAGAGAGAGATGGAATTAGGGTTTGAAAATGCTTAATTAATTTTTTATCACAGTTATCTAATTAATTAGTCACAAATTAATTTTTAGCCACAAATTATCAAATTTTTTATCACAACTTATTTCTTGGTCACAAATCAAAATTTTTATAAGTCACGGGATAATTTTCAATTGCAAATTCACAAAATTTATAGTTGGGGATGAGTGATCTTCGACAGCCGTACTTTTTGATAGAGAGAGAGAGAGAGAGAGAGAGAGAGATGGAATTAGGGTTTGAAAATGCTTAATTAATTTTTTATCACAGTTATCTAATTAATTAGTCACAAATTAATTTTTAGCCACAAATTATCAAATTTTTGATCACAACTTATTTCTTGGTCACAAATCAAAATTTTTATAAGTCACGGGATAATTTTCAATTGCAAATTCACAAAATTTATAGTTCACATATTCAAAAATATTATTGATCAAAACTTATTTACTCATTGCAAATTATTGAATTAATTGGTCACGATTATTTTTTTCAATCACAATTTAATCAAAAGTGGGTCACAATCGGAAGTTACAATCACAATTTTCAGGTCACGATTAACTTTTCGATCACAACTCAATCAATTGTGAGTCACAATCAGAGATCACAATCACAATTATCAGGTCACATATCTAATTATTAATAGCAATCACGTAGATAATTGGTCACAACCATTCAATCCATCCCACCCCAACCATCGCCTCCACATAAACACCAAATCCACCTAGATCAGCCGCCATTGCCACCTCACCACCGTCGAGAACATCTCCACCACCTCACCACTGCTGCCAACACCACAACCACACCACCAACACAACACCAAAACCATACCACAGCTACTGCAAAAACCATGCCACCGTCGCAACAACCCAATCAGATTTCATCTCTCAGATCCCCACCTATTTCGTCGCTGCAGCAAATCCAGATCTTGGCGACACCACCGCAAAATAGATCCAAAACCACCATCACTATCCACCACGCCTGCACTACATCCAACAACAACAAAATAATAATAATAATAATAATAATAATAATAATAATAATAATAATAATAATAATAATAATAATAATAAATCAGCCACCGCACCTCACGCCACCGCCACCGCAGACACACCACACCCATGCACATGCACACCACCCGCCACAGCAACCACCACACACCGCCTACACCGCAAGTAGATCCAATAAAAATAACTCCCAACAAAATCGAGGCGACGTTGTCGACGCTTCACATTGCTGCATCACTAGATTCACCATAGCCACGGCAACCTAACCTCACGACACCACTCTCTGCTTCACACCATGACAAGGTTGGACCGCTACAAACGTTGTCGATGGTGGGGCGATGGAGCTATCTGTGGAGAGTGATGCGAGAGAGGGAAGATGAAGCGAAAGAGAGACGATGATTCTAGGTTTGGGAATTGGGATGAAAATTTTGTATTTAATTTTTAATATTTAGATATGATATCTGATACTTCTGATTTTTGTAAAGTGAAACTACACATCTGTTTTAAGAAATCAGGATTTTAACTCTAGGGTATTGTGTAATTTCCACTATTTGTATTGATCTTAAATCCCATTTGGCCTCATTATTTCACATTGTAATTTTTCTATCTTATTTTCATCACGTAATTTTTAATAAAATAATATCACACGTAAATTGAATTTTTTTCTTATTTTTCAATCACGCATTTTTCAAAAAACACTATTCCAAAAGCTATAATACAAAGAATTGGATTTTCAAATCAACCATATTCCAATTTCGTTCAGTACTCTTATTCTAAAAACTTCATGTCAAATATATACCACTAGCATTTCTTTCAAATATTGACTAGATAGGAAAAAGCATTTGCTTTTCAAGGCATTGAAGAAGTTGTAGAATTTGTTCCAATATATTCTTCTGTTTGTTTATCATTCTCGAAATTTTTTTTTATTATTATTTTCTAAAACTCAATTTTAACCAAACATTCTCACAATAAAGTATGTTGCCTGTAAACACAAAAGTTTTTCTTATTTTTTAACCATACATTTTTTTAAATATCACTATTTTAAACTTAATTTTCCTCAAAAACTCTCTTTAATGGGCATTAAAGAGGGCTCACTCTCGTCATGCCAAATATTACGTTCTTGTTTAACTTGACCCCAAGTGTTAAATCATCAACATCAAATTGTGTTTCATATTACCCCTTTTCACATTTTTTATAATACTAGTTTTGTGCCCGTCCAATGCACGGGCCATGGTTTTTTGAAGGTATTGCTAGCGTGTTTGTTGTGAAAAATGAATTATATATATATATATATATGTGTGTGTGTGTGTGTGTGTGTGTGTGTGTGTG